CGCTCTTCTCTATGAGCCTGACCTTCACCATGAACTTCACAACGCTGTACGTTGTCAACCCCCTACACGTATATTAGCTAAACGTTTGTAGGATGCTCGTCGTCGTCTTTGTCGTGTCTACCGTCAGTTACTTCGTGAGGTACCGATACATGACTATGTACGCACGACTACCGCCTGAACCGCAGCGTGAAGAACCACAGGTCGAAGTCTTTCCCGACAGCGCCGAAAATGACTCCAAGCGCGGCTTGTCCAACTACTTGGATGAATTCTTGAGCGCAATCAAAGTCTTCGGTTACTTGGAGCGCCCAGTCTTCCATGAACTAACACGCACTATGCAGACCCGTCGGTTGGTGGCTGGCGAGACAATTCTCTTGGAAGAAGAGAAAGGCTTTTGTCTGGTAGTAGATGGCTTGGTCCAGATCTTTGTCAAGTCGAACCGAAATGATTCAGACTCCGATGAGGATGATATGGGAGGGGAGTCATCCGGCGACGGCGCGAACCAGGGCCACCGGCAGGGCTATCAGCTTCTTACTGAAGTCAAGAACGGAGCCCCAATGTCTTCGTTGTTCTCCATTCTCTCTCTGTTCACAGAAGACGTGAAGTTGCGCCATGACGAAGATGAGGACACGCGTCCAAGTTTTCCAGGATCGCCTCAGCAAGACGTAAGGCCATCTATGTCGCGGAACAGCAGCTTTGCATTCGACGATTCAAGACCGCACACACCAAACCAAGTCCCTGAGGCCAAGTTCGGGCATCGAAGAACATCGACTCTGAACAGTCCAACAGCAGGCGGGCGCCTTCAAGCCGTGCCGCCTCTGTCGCTGGATCTGGACGGCCTTGGTGATGAGCGACTCAAGCACAGCAAAACTCGAGGATCACCTTCGCGCCCTGCGAAGCCTAAATCTGCCCATCCAGACATTGTCGCGCGCGCGACCGTAGACACAACCATCGCTATAATCCCAGCCACTGCATTTCGTCGACTGACGCGCATATACCCCAAAGCAACGGCGCACATTGTTCAGGTCATCCTTACGCGCCTTCAAAGAGTTACGCTCGCAACCAGCCATGCTTATCTCAGTTTGACGAATGAGGTCCTACGCACGGAGAAGCTCATGAATAAGTATACTACATACGATCTTCCTGGCTTTCTGCGTGATGCTCCGCTCGAGCGGCTGAAGGAGAAATTTGCGAAGGAAACGGAGCGCATTGGCTCAGACGAGGGTATGAAGGGCATCGCGTTGCACAACCCCGGCGCCGGCCGACGACGAAGGTCCAGCGTATCCCTTAGGAGAGGAACCGCTGCGCAAGCCCGCCTTGCTGCCGCTCGTGGGGCCAACGCAAACGCAAACAACGAAGCATTACCCAAAATCACTTCCCCAGATCAAGGACCACGCAACGACCGAATCAGCGCAGGTGACCTGTTGACCAATTCGCAAATGGCACGCGGAACTGGTCGCAGCGGCCGCAGCAGCTTCTCTCAACCGTACCAACATCAACAGGAACGTCGAGACAACCGAACGCCGTTGGACGCAAGCAACTTTAACCCTTTCGCATCTCCCTCACTACGCCCGAAAACATTGCACCGACAAGAATCAATTGATGAAGCTACTGTGTTCAGGGAGTCTATACTGGGATGTATGTTCAAGGCTATCGGACTCATCAACCCGGAAAACCCCATGCCTAAGCCGACTGCGTCAGTGGAGCAGTCACCTCAGCTTGTCTCTTTCGACGCCAGGAGACAGAAGGCTGTGTTCACGAATGCATTTGGCTTCATGGACCCATACGCAGGCTCCAAGGATGGAGACACCGAGTCTATAGCATCGGCCTCTGGCATGTCAAGCATGAGCGCTGCAGGCCCTCATAACATCCTGGAAGAGATCGTGAATGATGTGGAGATTGTCTTCTTTCCCAAGGACTCGGTGCTGGTGGAACAGGGAGAGAGGAATCCTGGTTTGTATTACGTCATTGATGGGTTCTTGGACGTAAGCGTGCCTGTGGAAGAAGACGCGCCTGAATCCAACGTACTGGGAACCCTTCCTAATGGGCCAGGCTACACTGAAGACGACCTTTTCGGTCCATCGTCACGCCCACCAGGATCGAGTACCCCTTCGCGAACTGCTGCCGATGGTACCAAGAAGAAGCGCACAAGAAGGAGTCTATTCATGACCAAGCCTGGTGGACTAGCTGGCTATCTTGGAGCAGTATCATCGAATCGATCTTTCGTCGATGTCACAGCCAAGACCGATGTCTACGTAGGTTTTCTGCCCCGCTCAGCGATAGAGCGAATCGTCGAACGATACCCGGTTGTATTGCTCACGATCGCGAAACGCCTTACAACACTTCTGCCACGGCTGATCCAGCATATCGACTTCGCTTTGGAATGGGTTCAAGTAAATGCGGGGCAGGTGATCTACAACCAAGGAGATGAGAGCGATGCTATTTACATCGTCTTGAACGGAAGATTGCGCGCCATCCGCGACGCCGAAAACAGCGCGGTAAAGGTCATTGGTGAATACGGTCAAGGTGACAGCGTCGGAGAACTCGAAGTACTCACAGAATCATCACGACCGGGCTCACTGCATGCCATCCGAGATACCGAGCTTGCGAAGTTCCCGAAGACGCTATTTAACAGTCTGGCACTAGAACATCCTGGCATCACAATTAAGATCTCGAAGATCATTGCGTCCCGCATGCGAGCTTTGGTCGATGACCCACTGCACGAACAGAGTAAAGAGCGTGGGACGAAGGCCACTCGCGCGAATGTGTCTTCGACAGTCAACTTACGCACTGTGGCCGTACTTCCGGTGACTGCTGGGATCCCGGTAGTGGACTTCGGAAGCCGGCTGGTAAACGCGCTTACTCAAATCGGCATGCCACAAGGCGTGGTCTCTCTGAATCAGGCTGCCATTCTCAATCATCTCGGACGACACGCCTTCAGTCGCATGGGGAAACTGAAGCTTTCGCAATACCTCGCTGATTTGGAGGAAAGATATGGCATGGTCATCTATGTCGCTGACACTCCAGTCAAGTCGCCATGGACCCAGACGTGCATCAACCAGGCTGATTGCATCCTCCTCGTGGGTCTAGCTGAGTCGTCTCCAAACATTGGCGAGTATGAGCGTTTCCTCTTAACAACCAAGACGACTGCACGCAAAGAGCTGGTGCTTTTGCATTCTGAGAGATACTGTCCGTCAGGCCTGACGCGGAAGTGGCTGCGCAACCGCCCTTGGATCAATGGCAGTCATCATCATATTCAAATGTCATTCCGTGCAACCTCGGAGCCAGTTCATCACGCTGGGCGACGCTTTGGAAATGCGCTCAAACAACGAGTGCAAGTCATCCAGGCTGAGATCCAGAAGTATACATCGAGGAAGGTCAGACAGACGCCGCTCTATTCGGCAGACACACCATTCAAGGGTGACTTCCATCGCCTCGCAAGACGTCTGTGCGGTCGCTCTGTCGGTCTTGTATTGGGCGGTGGTGGTGCTCGTGGTATATCGCAAATCGGCATCATCCGCGCACTGGAAGAAGCTGGAATTCCCATCGATATCGTGGGCGGCACATCTATCGGTAGTTTCATAGGTGCACTCTACGCTTGGGATGCAGATGTTGTTCCCATGTACGGTCGCGCAAAGAAGTTTGCCGGTCGCATGGGCAGCATGTGGAGGTTTGCACTCGATCTTACCTACCCTTCGTAAGTTTTACATGTCCACATAAACTTCAAAGCTGATTTTCGATAGTGCTTCGTACACCACTGGCCATGAGTTCAACCGTGGCATCTTCAAGACCTTTGGGAATTCCCAAATGGAAGACTTCTGGCTCGAGTTCTACTGCAACACCACCAACATCAGCAAGTCGCGTTCAGAAATCCACACGAGTGGATACGTTTGGCGCTACGTCCGCGCATCGATGTCACTTGCAGGCTTACTTCCTCCCCTGTGTGACAACGGCAGCATGCTCTTGGATGGTGGGTACATCGACAACCTGACTGTCACGCATATGAAGAGTCTCGGCGCAGACGTCATCTTCGCTGTCGACGTAGGCAGTCTCGACGATAACGCGCCGCAGTCTTTCGGTGACTCATTAAGTGGTTTCTGGGCGACATTCAATCGGTGGAATCCATTCTCTAGCTTCCCCAACCCCCCGACGTTATCGGAGATCCAGTCGCGCCTCGCATATGTGTCTAGTATCGATGCGCTGGAGCGGGCGAAGAATACGCCGGGATGCAGGTACATGCGGCCGCCAATCGATCCGTATGGCACGCTTGACTTTGCGAAATTCGAAGAGATCTACGAGGTGGGGTACAAATACGGTAAGTGACGACGCAATCTTTGACTTTGAAAATGTTTTGCTAATGCGATGCACAGGCAAAGAGTACCTAGCGCAGCTCCGCGAGCAAGGAATCCTGCCCGTGACCGAAGAGACGGAGAAAGAAAAGAATCTCCGACGGACAATGGCACCGCGACGGGCGAGCATCTAGTGTGGTTGAACCGTGCCCAGAACACGCGGAGAGGACTGAGATGCGGGTTATGTGGATATCAAGTAATAGAATGCAGCGGTGGTCAGCGTAGTTTTGCCCAATGGGTGCTAGGAATGCGTGTGGATGCAAGGACAGTCGGCTTGGGGTTTAGTGGCACGCGTCGGCTAGCTTGGCCAGGGTCAGCTTATCACCAACGGCGCGGATAATGACGGGTTAGAGTGTAGATAGCAATGAATGAAGGCGCGCTGTCACCGCTGTCAATTTGAGCGTCTTGAGGTTTCGCGATCCAAGTTCTTCCTTCCCTTGTAAATCCTCACTTTGCATTTCCCTGGGTTGTGGGTGTTGAACGCGTTTCCCCCGCCAACGTCACCACCACTGCAGTGGCGAGCCTCCCAGACTTTTGAGCAATCGGGCCAATTGCTCGCACAGGACTCGCTCAACAGCACACTAATCTCTCTGTTAAAAAATATTTGCTTCCTGGGGAGACTCCCCGTAGCAGCACTGCAACCACACAGCCAACATGCGCGCAGCGTGTATTAGGGCAGCTAGCACTGCTAGCCGGCTCACACGATCGTCGTGTGTCGCCCAGCTACCGCGTCCCCAGCTCGCGGGCACGTCGTCGCGCGCCATCGCATACCAAACCCTGCAAACTCTCCAAAAGCGCGGGTTCCAGCAGCAGGCGCCGACTGCGCAACAGGCGGCCGCAGCCGCAGCCGTCGAAGCCGCAGACGATGTATTCGACACCCCGCCCCAGCAGACCGACTCGGCGAGACCCTTCGATGCGCTCGACACATTTCCCCGCCGTCACATTGGGCCGTCTGCCGAGAGTGCGGAAGCCATGCTCAAGGCCCTGGATCCGCCCGTGGGCAGCCTAGACGAGTTCGTCCGCCAGGTTATACCCGCTGATATTCTGTCGGCGCGCGAGTTGAAGATTGGTAGCATGTCCGAGGGACTGAGTGTGGAGGAGTGGCAGGCCCACGGCGTGCCAGAGTCCGTCTTCCTCAACACCGCGAAGCAGATTATGAGCCAGAACAAGCCGGGCCAGAGTCTGATCGGACAGGGATACTATGGCACCAAAGTCCCGGAGGTCATCAAGAGGAACGTCCTCGAGAACCCCGCTTGGTACACTAGCTATACCCCATACCAGCCAGAGATCAGCCAGGGACGTCTGGAGTCGCTGCTGAACTTCCAGACTATGGTCTCGGATCTGACTGGTCTGAGCATTGCGAATGCGTCGGTGCTGGATGAGCCTACTGCGGCGGCCGAGGCCATGACCATGTCCATGGGCATGATGCCTCTGTCCAAGCAGAAGAGCAAGAACAAGACTTTCCTCGTGTCGGAGAGGTGTCACCCCCAGACTCTCGCTGTTCTCTACTCGCGCGCCGAGGGCTTTGGCATTAAGATTGAAGTTGCGGATGTGCTCAAGGACAACAGCAAGAGGGTGGAGGAGCTGGGCCAGGATCTCGTCGGTGTGCTCGCTCAGTACCCAGACACTGACGGAGCCGTCAACGACTTCCGCGGACTCGCCGACAAGGTGCACAAGACTGGTGCGCTTTTCAGCGTTGCGACCGATCTCCTCGCCCTCACACTGCTTACTCCACCGGGAGAGTTCGGTGCCGACATCGCCTTCGGAAACGCACAACGGTTCGGTGTGCCTCTGGGCTACGGTGGACCACACGCGGCCTTCTTCGCCTGCGACGAGAAGTACAAGCGCAAGATTCCGGGTCGTCTGATCGGTCTGTCAAAGGACAGGTTGGGAAACCCTGCGGCACGACTCGCGCTGCAGACCCGAGAGCAGCACATTCGCCGTGAGAAGGCTACTAGCAACATTTGCACGGCACAGGCTCTGTTGGCAAACATGAGCGCTATGTACGCTGTGTACCATGGACCAAATGGCCTGACTGCCATCGCCAAGCAGGTCGTTGCAAAGGCTCGCACGATTCAACAGGCGCTCATCGCCAATGGCTACAAGACTGGCCAGCGCGGAAAGATGGACAACGCACCTGTCTTGTTCGACACAGTCGTTGTCGAGACAGGCGACAAGACCGACGCCATCATCTCCGCACTCGCGAAGAACGAAATATTCGTACGAAGGATCGACGCCCATCACGTCGGTATTTCCGTTGATGAAACCACCGGTGCAAACACGATCAACAAAGTATTGAATGTGTTCAACGGAACTCGCAACAGCTGGTCTTTTGCCGAATCTGTCGACATTGAGGTTCCTGAGCCGTTCAAGAGGACCAGCGAGTTCATGACCCACCCAGTATTTAACTCGCATCATTCCGAGACGGAACTTCTCCGTTACATCAACCATCTGTCTTCGAAGGATCTGTCTCTGGTACACTCAATGATCCCTCTTGGATCGTGCACGATGAAGCTCAACTCCACCGCGGAGATGGCACCTGTTTCGTTTGATACCGTATCCAACCTGCATCCCTTCCTGCCTCTTGACCGCGCCACTGGATACTCCGACATGATCAAGCAGCTAGAAGACGACTTGGCTGACATTACAGGCTTCCACTCGGTCTCGCTACAGCCCAACTCTGGTGCTCAGGGTGAATTCACGGGTCTCCGCGTCATTCGCAAATATCTCGAGCAGCAGCCTGGCAAGAAGCGCGATATCTGCTTGATTCCTGTCTCAGCCCACGGAACCAACCCTGCTAGTGCTGCCATGTGCGGTATGCGTGTTGTTCCCATCAAATGCGACCAAGCGACCGGTAACCTGGACATGGCCGACTTGAAGGCCAAGTGCGAGAAGCACAGCGAAGAGCTCGGCGCCTTCATGGTCACCTACCCCAGCACGTTCGGTGTCTTCGAGCCCAGCGTCAAGGAGGCTTGCGACCTGATCCATCAGCACGGCGGCCAAGTCTACATGGACGGTGCCAACATGAACGCCCAAATCGGTCTTTGCTCCCCCGGCGAGATCGGTGCCGACGTCTGCCATCTCAACCTGCACAAGACCTTCTGCATTCCCCACGGCGGCGGTGGCCCCGGTGTAGGCCCCATCGGAGTGAAAGAACATCTCTCACCCTTCCTCCCCGGCCATCTCCGCGGCGAAACCGGTGGCGCCCAAGCCATCCACCCCGTCAGCGGTGCACCCTGGGGAAGCGCCAGCATCCTGCCCATCAGCTGGGCCTACATCAAGATGATGGGCGCCGTCGGCCTCACTCAAGCCACCAAGATTACCCTCCTCAACGCAAACTACATCCTCTCCCGCCTGAAGCCGCACTACCCCATCCTCTACACCAACGACGAAGGTCGCTGCGCCCACGAATTCATCCTCGACGTCCGCGGCTTCAAGGAAACCGCTGGTATCGAAGCTATTGATATCGCCAAGCGCCTCCAAGATTACGGTTTCCACGCCCCCACTATGAGCTGGCCTGTTGCCAACACCCTCATGATCGAGCCTACGGAATCGGAGAGCAAGGCCGAGTTGGACCGCTTCTGCGATGCGCTGATTAGTATCCGCAAGGAGATTAAGGAGGTTGAAGAAGGTCAACAACCCAAGGAGGGTAATGTGCTGAAGATGAGTCCGCATACCCAGCAGGATCTTATTACGGGCGAGTGGCAGAGGAGTTATTCGAGGGAGAAGGCGGCGTATCCCCTCAGCTACTTGAAGGCGAAGAAGTTCTGGCCTAGTGTTGCGAGGTTGGATGATGGTAAGTCTTTCCTCCCTTTTTCTGGCGATTTGTGAGGATACAGGCTAACAGTGCGATAGCATACGGCGACACAAACCTCTTCTGCACTTGCGCCCCCGTCGAGGGCGAGGACAGCGATATCACTGGTGCTGCTGCGCCGACCCCGACCTAGAACCCTTCATCCTCACGGCCGGTTCGACCTTCTTTCACTGGCTTTTCTTTTTTCCTCTTTGCATCAAAGGTGCGGGGCTCTATCGGGTAGGCCTCTTTCTTCAACAAGCACCCCCCAGCGTGGGTGTTCTGGCGTCTTTACATTTACATCACCTTGGCTTGGCTTCAACACTTGCTGGTCGATGGAATCTTCTTTTTTTATTTACCCAAATAGGGTGGGGTTTATGAATGCATATTTGGCGTTTCTTGTTAGCTGGGTATAGATAGTGCTATGATAGGTGTGGGAATGAGATGATGCTTCATGATGCAAAATACTATGTTTACTGAGTTTTCGCGGTTCATGTGGCTTGTGTGACGTGGTGGAGATGGTTGCAAACGATGCCGCACACGTCCGTGTCAGCACTGTGACTAATGTGCGGGCTTAAGGACTCACGTGCGTAACCCCGACTAGCTTGGCTGTGTGCATATAAATCCCTCTCCGATGCTGTCTATCTCTCTCCTTCCTCATATTACATCCTTCTGTGTTTTTCCAAAATCATATTAACTTCCGATGATGGGGTGACCGAAAAGAATCACATCGTCTTCCATATGGGCGCTCTGTCTCTTCCCTCTTTCCAAAATACCCACACCAAAAACCACCGGGCTAGGTTCCTATGTTTCTCCCGGCTCCGTTCTTCTCAAAACATACTTCCGTTACTTGAATGGTGTCATCGACTGCCTTCCCTCGATACTTCAAAAAATGTTCGGACGCATCCATGTTCTTCGTCTACCAGAAAGCCACTGCAAACATTCTTCATGGCTGTGCGGTCTCTCTTCTCCTCTACAACATTCCCAGGTTCGACGACCAAATCATATAATACTCTTGCCGATGTTTGCGGCCTTCCCTTCTCGATCAAAAAGAAACGTCGGGTCCACAGGCATATGGTGTTCTCCAACTCTGCCTGGAGTTTTCGAAACGGAACTGGACTAGATCTATGTGTTCGCCTGGCCGAAATACCACCCTGAAGCATTTATGGCTGGTCTCCTTCTCTTCTCCTCACACATCTCTGAGAAGCGGAAACTAAAAAGTGGCTGGACATGGCAGATGATTTCTGCCTCCTCTGCTTTATCAAAAAATACACTTCCTTGTCACTAATGTTCTCTCGCCTCTCCTGGGAACTCCAAGGTTATCCAAAAGTATGGAATATGCTTCCAGTATCGAAAGCAAGATGCGGGATATGTATGTCTGTCCGTCTTCCTTTCCTGAAAACTGCCAGAGAGCCACGTCATGATCCAGTCTTTCCAAAAAACCTCTTTGCAGACTACATGGGCGTCGGCGGACTAAAAGAACCCTTCTATGTGGCCATGTCTTCGGCAAAAAGACAACTGCGTTCTTGACATGAACAGAAACATGTTCGGGGATCATGCATGTCTGAAAGCGGAAGCGGAGATACCGATGTCTGTTGCGTCTGCTTTATGCAATTTACGATTTCTGTGGATATACCAAAACACTACCGGAGTGTCTACATGTTGGCGAAAACTATTGCGGTATCAGAAATGAAAGTGCCGCTCGCGCTTCTTGTCACCCATGCCTCGACTTTGGTCGCCGGAAAGAGTCTAGTTGGCGATGAGGGCGTGTATAAGGTCGCGAGACTGTGCGCTCTTCCTTCTTCTTCATCACTCACTGCTTCTTGCAGTTTACCAAAAAGTACCAGGTCTTCTGTCATGGAAAGACCAAAAGAAGTTTGAAAGACGCCGATGGCTGCGGTCGGGCGGGAGGTTTCAAAAAGGGCAAAGAAACTCAGCATGGGTTTTCTTTCTCGACTTTGGCTTATACACATTCACTGTCGAAGCTTAAACCTTTCGCATTTCACATTGAAAGATCTTACGATGAGCGGGGCATGTCGCAGTCCGAGTGGCTCTCTTTTCCACGATTGAAACTCACTTCATCGTGCGATACCATCCCGTGTACATGAAGCAACATGACAAACCCCATCATCCTGCTTGTTCTACATTGCTCGTTAAACCATCAATCCACCTTTGTCAACAAGACCTTCCCAATCGCCACAACCGCCGCTTTACACAGCACCCTCACCCCCTCCTTTACATACGGCTCTTCCGCAAAATATTCAAACCTACTCTGCCACAGCCTCCACCTTCCCGACGACAACCCCGGCTCTCCGTTCCAAAAGTCCGTCTTCACTGCGATACCTCTCTCCAACCCTTCTACAAAGATCGAGTTGCCTAAGCGGTACATGTGAGATGCGCCTGTGACGACCCAATCAGCTGCGGCTATTAGGTCGTAGTTTAGCACGTCATCGGCACCGATCGCGGAACGCTCGAGGGAAAAAGGGCGAATGTGTTTTTCGACCTCGTCTTCTCTTGATTCTCTTTCCTTCTCGAGCGTGTCACGTAGGCAAAAGAAGCCGAACATAAAGTAGCCGTTGTCGTATCCAGAGGTGGCCAATTTGGCAGTGAAGACATTATAATTAACCCATCTGTCACCCGGCGTAGTGGTCGCTTGCTTATCTTCCGGTTTCCAGAGATATCGCAGTCCGGATATGCCGTCATAGTTTTCCCGGTGCATGGATTCGAGGTGGTAGTAGACTGGGTTTGGGGTGGGGGGTATGGCGCGGATGGCGGGAAGGAGGGCGATAATAGGGTCGTGTGAGGTGGAGAATTGTGCGACTGTGTCTAGGAGTAGATTTGTGACTTCGAAGCCGGTATCTGCGGGTTTTGATGAGGCGTTGACAGAGGTCACGATTGCTGATGCAGTCGTTGCGGGTGGGGTGTCTGTGGTGCTGGAGAGATAGTCTGAGAGAATTTTGGTGCTTTCTTGGAAGGCCTTCTCACCGGCGTTGGCTTTCTGACTGAACCATTGATCCATAGCTGAATGTTGCACTGCTGAAAAAAACAAAGACGCTGGGGCGGAAGTGGTGAGGCTGGAGTGGTGAATCTTGCTCGTGGATTTGCGGGCCGGCGGAGGTGATCACGAAGCTTGCCTCAGCATACGCTACGTCATAGGTCACTGCGTACACTCCGATAACAGCATATACTCGTTGCGACAACAAGTACACCGCACGTTATCTGCCTCTTGACGAGAAGTCTTGAATGAGATGCAAATATGCATACGGAGGCAGATGACTTTACTTCTCGACTTCGCACTCATTCACCATGCCTTTGCAATGTATAGAGCGGACGTAATGAATGTAACCATTTCAGGGGATTGGAAACCCTCACAGAATACATGTGTATATATTCGCATTCGCGATGTACCGGTATGGGGTGGTATCCCAACAAGCGGCGCGCCGCATCATACCATCGCGCGACGCCCCTCGTCTCGACGCAAACAGCTTCACCTTACCTCGAAGCGGACGCATGCACCGTCTCAAATCGGGCACATAGCACCTCTCAAATCCTCTACGAAATCGAGCTTTCCCTTTACAGGACCGAGACTGTCGTAATCTTCCTTCTTCATATGTCGTCTTGAGGCTGCCGCACCCTTGAACCCACTCCGACTGACTCCCGCGCCTGCAAGGGCGCTAAACACAGTCATAAAGGCGTTTTCTGGATCCTGGACTACGCCGTAGACTGTAAGTGCGACGTCGCCTACCGTGCCGATAAGTCTGGCAATAGAGCGAACAGCAGTCAGCCCTGCGGCTGCTTCACCAGCGAACGGGATGAAAAACAAGAGACCCATGATGAAGTTCAGAATGAACTCTTCGCGCTCCGCCTTCTCTATTTCATTAGCCTTGCTTACGATCTTCTCCATAGCCACAATGGCCTCCTCGGTAGAGAATGCTGGCAGCGAGGTGGAGTCGACCATGTCAGATTCGGGCATCTGTTCGTCCCAGATACCTGCCAGCGACATGTCTTGGAAGCGGTACAACATGTCCTGGGCTTTGGAGTAGGAGTCGCCGATGATATCCTTGGGGTTGTAGATCTCGACCTTGTTTTGGTCCATAAGAGGATAGTTCCTGAAGAAGTTGTTGTTCCATTCCATACAGGCCTTGGCGTCCGAGGAATACTGGCAACCGTTGTTGACTCGCATCTCGCGCTTGCCAAACTTGATCCATTCTCTGTCTATGCCCCAAGTCTTGGAGAGGTCGTCGTAAAAGCTGTCTTCGTCCTTGAGGGTGAATGTCGCGTTTGGAATGTAGTCGCTCGTGAGTGGGCGTGCCTTGAACTCCATCTTTGGACATTTCTCCATGGGATAGTCACCCGCGCCTCCTTTGCAGTCTTTGCCTTTGATGCAGTTCAGATTACAGCCGGCATACATGCAGTCATCACAGCAGATTGCCGAGTTCTTGTGATCCGTGCAAGTAAAGTACTCGTCAACCTTGTCGCTTGCCATGAAGTTGTTGATTTGGTCGGGAATCTGGTCCTTCACGTAAGAAGCGTAGGTGTCGAATTTATCATCGTAACCCTTGTCGACCAGATCTTTGTACTTCTTCAGCGCTCCATCGAGTACAGAGATTTGAACATCGGTGATGTACTGCTCCATGCAGTGGCCGGGGATCGAGCCTTTGCGGTCCTTCAACTGATCCAGTGAGCTGAATTGCCCCTCGCAGGCAGCCCAGTAGTTTTCGTCGATCGGCACTTCGTAATCCTCAGGTTCATCTACTCTACTTCTAGTCAGTGAGGCTCAGTCTCACGCTCTTTCATCAACTTACCCATGCCAATCTTGCAGATCCACTGCCCAGTCCGTAGTTCCAGCGAAGTTGTATGAGTCGTAGAACTTTGATCGAGTGACCTTCAACTCATCATCCATCCAGGCGACCCATTCCGTATTGTTGAAGACCATGATGTTTGAACCGTCCTTGATGTACTTCTTCTGGATGTTACCACTGTCGATGATCTCCTGGATCTCAGCATTGGAGATATAACCACCAGTCTGTGTACATCGGCCTTGGTACGCATCGGATACTCGGGGAGATCCGGTAAACTTGCAGTATTCGTAATCGCACCCAGCTTGCGCCATCTTGAAGGAGCGACCATAGCTAGAGACACCCACAACCTACGAACATATCAGCGTGACGGTCTATACATACATCATTGATAATCACTCACCACTTTGCTGGAGTCTGCTCCGGCTTTGGTTATCATGGATAGCGCATCTTTGGTCTCAGTTTCGTTGACATGAGATCTCAGGCAGTTACCAGTGTCGCATCCAGGCGAAGTCCACTTGTTGCCGTAATCCCATTGGCCATGCAGATCGTATGTCATATATACGATGTAGTCGAGAGTCTTGGCCATGTCCTTAATGGGGAAGGACTTGAGGTACCAGTATGACGCGGGCGCCGCGAAAGATACAGACTTGGAAGAACCCAAGGCTGACTTCAAGCTGGCGAGCAGTCGGTAGTAGTTGACGCCGTTGACAGGATCATCGGTCGGAATGCCGGGCAGGTCGGGAGCCTGAGTATATCCTATCAGCATATGGAATTCAGCAATTGCTCAGGGACTTACTCCAGGGTACTCCCAGTCGAGGTCGACACCATCAAGCCCATGCTCTTCAATGAAGCTGATGATGTTGTCCCTAAACGTCGCACGATTGGCCGGTAAGACCGCCTCACGCAAGATCTGAAATGTTCCAGGCTCGGTACTGAACGCCCAGCCACCGAAAGAGATGATCTTCTTGACGTTCTTCATCTTCTTGAACTCTTCGAATTCCTTCAGAGTTGTCTCGTCCGTAATCTCTGGCTTATATGTCCCTCGAGTGACGTTCGCGAAGGCAAAGTGGATATGCGTGTAGTCCTCGGGAATCGACGTCACTAGCATATTCAGGCATGGTCGATTGAAGTTCCAGCTTTCGTAGTATGCGATCTTGATTTTGTTCGCCGGAGCGGTGCCTTTGATGATGTCTCTGCCGCAATTGCTGATGCCTGAAGCACGTTAGTATACCTCCATGAATGCGAATGACTGTGGACTACATACATCCATTCTTTCCGGGGGCAGACGTTCCCGGGGCACCGGTCTCTGACTTGCTAACGGTGCAGAAGTCGTCAGTCAAACCACATTGGCCCCAGACGTTGCAGCAAACGTTCAATGGACAAGGGTTCAGTGTGCTGATATTCGCAGGTGCGGTGATCGGGTTCGGTCGTATGGTGCCGTTCTTCGTTGGCCCGCAGATCGCATTCTATCAAGGCGTGCGTCAGAAAGAGTAACAGGTTGGAGAGTGCGGATCAGGAAAAGCATACCGGAACAATGGCAGGCATAGGTGCTAAGCCCTTGCTGACACACATGAGAAAGTCTGCATAGAAGACCTCTGGTTTGCAGCCATTCCAGCCCCATGTACCCTTGTTGAACTCCATGAGGTCATCCACAGTAATGTCGTGGGAGATGGCAACCTTCGAGCAACTGTCATCCTTCTTGGTGTAGTAGGTCGCGCAATTTCCGCCGGCATCGGGCTTGGGTTTCAGATCAGGATATTTGCCGGCAGTACAGCAAACCTTTTGCCCTGGCATAAGGTTTGAGCAGAGATTCGTCTTGGTGTTAGCCTTCATGAAGTCGTTCGCGCTGATACCGCATTTGGCCGCGAGGCTGCCACAGTCATCCTTCTCTACAACCTCCCTCGTCTTGCAAGTACCGTCTGTATTGCCAGAAGGGAGTGTGCTTGGCAATGTGCCGCTACTACAGCACACGACCTCATCTTTGACAAGCGTAGTGCAGAGGTTGGCGCGGTTGTACTTCTCCAGGTTGGTCTGGCTGATGCCGCATCGATCGGCGATGGCGTAGCAACCATCGCCACTTCTGACGGTCGCAGTCTTGCAGTCTGCTCTGATGTCGAGACGTCCTCTCGTGTCCAAATGAGCGGGCGAGATGTTTCGAGAACGAATGGTTGAGTTAGTGCCATTGACAGAGATGTGTTCCACGGAAACAGGAATGCGAATGGTGACCTGCATCCAGTCTTCGCCTGTATCAGCCTGGGAGACGCACTCGCCATCCGACCAAGTCTTGACAGCTGTCTGTACGAACGGTAGGTTCTTCGCACTGGTCGCCACGATGCCTACGCTATAGTCCGCGCCACGCCCTTCAGCTGCGCACAGCTGAACGACAGTTGTCTTGGAAAGGCCTTGATTCTGAACGTGAAGCAAGAACTTATTCAAAACTTCGGCGGTCAAACCGTGTTGATGAACCTCGGCTCCGGCATAGACACCGATAGCTGAAGACTGAGAGTATGCGAACTCCATGACGCTATGGCTGCATGAAGGCGTTTGTAATGCGAGATGATTGATAACTTGACGTCCGGCAGAGAGGAGGTGGCTGCTTGAGTACGCATCGTTCCCGGTCGTTGGCTGATGCATGTAGATCGACACGTCTTCCAGAACGCGATTGGCGGTTGTGCAAAGCGAGGCCTTCTCCCCGTCGGGTTCGAAGAAGGATCTGGCTACCGACACGTAGTCTGCAGTACATGCCCGAGTGACGACGTTTTCCCTAAGATCAGCCTCGGCGTTCTGAACGACCATGTCAATGAGCATCGTCTCATTACAAGCGGCAAGCCGTCCGATATCTGGATACAAGAACCATTCGGCTCTTGATGTCATATCTTTCGTTGTGCTGCAGGGTACGGGACACAGGTCGCCCGCCGCTGAGTTCACGCTTTGGGCTGCTGCTAGCCATTCGTCAAGGTCATCGTTCTCGTTGCCTCTTCGAATTGCTTCCACGCTGGAAGAATTGGACCTAACACATGCTGTCAGTACAACAATTTGAAGTACTACTGGGGAAATCAAAGTGATTTGATAAGAGCGAGGATGCTTGAAGCTGAGGTGTGATTTGCACCACAAGCAAACGAAGTGTAACTTACAAAACGCCCCCAACAAGCAACGCATAAGGGATAATGCTGCGCAAAGATACTTTCGCCATGACAGAGTTCCACGATAGAATGCGTGGCAAGGGAAGCTTGGGAGAGTTGAACAACGGCTGAGCTGGTCAAGCCGAGAATTGGGAACGGCAATTGATAGCACCCGCCTATCTTTGCCTTGTGTACATCGAGGCGATTGTCAATGTTTCGACGGTCGGAAACGGCCCCCGCCGCACCTGACAGTGCATGGATCATGTTGTCTGGAAGCAGTCTCATGCAGGTACGGTGGATGGGGAAGTTCGGCTCTCTGCTGGACCTGCAGCGCGACCCCTTCTCGCTTGTGAGCTTGGCCCGTGCTCGGGCCATGGCCCTCGCGGACAGGACGCGCGACATCCCTGGCCTGACCTCGCCACTATTGCATCTGACCCGCGGGCCCCTCCGTCGGCCCGCTAATGCAGTATGATGGCCCCCATGCTCTCCAAAATATCAGAGATAAGTAACCGCCCAGTGGGACTATTGGTGGCGTGGTCACAACCACCTGGGCACTCCAGGGACGTCAATCGGACCGACGGCTAAACACTGATGCGCCGTATGAGCAGGGCGCCCGTGAGTATGTCATGTAGGTGTCTCGATCTAGACTCATTTGCATCCCCCCATACTCTACAGAGACTGAACTCAATTGGGGTGTACCTCCGTATGCCAGTCGACCCCAGTCGAAAAGTAAGGGTCCTCGCTGGAGATGATACTATTCAGTTTCCGTCCAGAGAAGGCGTAGATTGCCATCTTTAGAGCTTCGTCGAGCATTTCGCTCTCTTTTTGGTGTGCCTGAAGCGGAAGTTCTGCGTCGGTTCTTGAACATCTTCGTTGTCTCAGCGTTCGTCTTTCGCTCACTGATCTTACTTTGCATTCCAAGATGAAGCTGCAGCCTGTCATTGCTCTTTTTTGTTTGTTACAAACTGCCTTTGCTGGAGGTTACCAAGGATGTCTTGAGCGCGTGCATCTGTTTCAAGCGTATGAGATCGAGGGGCTCCGTCCAGCTTCAGATCGCGAGTTTGGATACAGATGCCTTGACTGGGACAACTCGAAAGGGTCATCGCACTGTCGAGGTGGTAAGTATGTATGGACTAGCTACAGACTCTTCTTGCTAAGCACATCGCAGACAGATACGAGGCATGTGTGGGTTCTCGAAATGGAGGCCGCTGCTCCTATGAAGAACTCCAAGACTTTATGTCGGGGAAGAAAGACAAACTTACCTGGAAGACGTTAGGTAATGCTGTCTACCAGAGTAATGGCAAGATCGATTTGGAGGCAACTGCTCTGAATTGCTACTCGCGATATCAAAAAAAGAGCGGTGGGAAAGTACCGAATTTTCCCGTATAGTAAGTAGGAATGCCTTTGACACGATCGGCTATCGGTTAGCTTGTACCGAGTGGGACTCTTTTAAGCTGACTACCACAAAGCAAAGCAATGAAAGGCACTAATGGGGAGTATAACGATTACCTGAGAAAGTTGGGTAACCGGGTGAGCTAATTTCGTTCACGACCATACGTCCCTATTCTAAACGTTCTTAGGTCGATTACGTCTTTCGCCAGCATCCGGACGCTGGAGACAGGCATCTTTTTGACGACTTCGACAGTACACGCAATGAGATCAACCGAGTCCGCGCTGGTGACCACGGCGTCCATCTTCTTCCCGAGGCCAGACGATCGAATGTGAACAATATCGCCGTAAAGGACCTTGGTACAGATCCTGTGTCAGGCAATGGCATGCAGTCGGTGGACTGGGCGAGAACGGCAAATAATGCCAGGGCCAACGGGGATACTACAGTCGGTGCGCGCATCACGGCGTTCTGCAATACCTTTTACCACGGCACCACCGAAGACGCAAAGGTTGCAAGAAAGCATCTGCAAGTCTTCAGGTCTTACAAATACATGGAAAATCGGGCAAAGAAATGCGGGAGGAGGACGTGAAATGCGGCATGATGGCGGTGCACGAACACATTGATGATCTCCACAATCATGGCAAATCTTCTTGTATTCTTGTCATTGATGATCTTCTAATGGCATATTTGCGATAAGTGAACAGAGCGAGCTGTTTAGAGCGAAAAGAACTTTCGATAATCAAATAACAGAGAGGTGTCCATCCCAAGCCTTCCCATTGTCTCGCTTTATCTCAATCACGATCAGCACACTCATTGCTTTCGCTACTACACTTAACTATGTCTCCAAAGTATGTGGAGGTAAGTTCCAAGCTGATCTTGCTACTATATTCTCTTCGGGTGCAAGGATGACGAGAGATGTCAATCGCGACTTGTCGGCTGGCGTGATGTTTCGTTTAGTGCCTTTGCGGGTTTGCTACACCGATTTGGAATATATCAAATTATATTAGAAGAATTACATGAGAGGGTATAGCTCGACGATCTCATCTTCTCCATCACCGCCTCTGAAAACTCGTGTGCTATCATGGGGATCAATGTAGAAGACATTTTCCTCGCCACAAGGCCACAGATGTTCTTCTGTTGCTCCAACACATGCGCGTAGACCGTCTAAAGGCAATATATGTATCTCCTTCACATTTACAAAGTCCTGGACGTCTTTGACCTCGTCGTAATAAAAGTACTCAGACTGCATCTCGCGCTCAAACCTCAAGAGCTGGATAAATTTGGCGACTGGTTCAAAGGCAGTGAAGGCGGACTTCGCAATGTCGATGGTGTCGATGTCGAAATTGACCCATACATACCTGCTTGTCGCATAGCGCTTAGCGTACATACGTGGACCTTGGGATGGAGGCTCACTCACTGGGATCCGTGCCCCGGCACAGCCACTTCGGAGAAGGCCTTTCGGTACAACCCATGATTTCGCGCTTCCCGGCAGGTTTGAAGAACAGCCGGGACTGGCGTAGACGAGGTGAGGTAGAAAGCCTGGCGAATAGGCTTTTGACGTGTCAACTCAACGTTGACCACCCGAGGCTCGACTGTCATCTCCCATATCTGCATGCGCAGCTCATACGGTAGACGTGGAAATGGGTGGAAGGTCGCCATGTTGCAGTAACTGCCGAAGATGACACTAATACGTTTGCGGGTCGGTGTTCCGTCGGTGCACTGGAGCAGCGAGCGTTGGAGAGAGAAATGCTAAAATGGTGGAAGAACTTGCGTGCGGCGTAGTTCTCTCGTTCAAGTCGGAGTGAGCGAAGGCAAATGGGCTACCCCCGCATGGGGGTTGCAAGGCGGCATCCGCCTTTCCAGGGTCCACAGCGGCGGCTCTAACCGCGCCGCACCTTGGCTCCTCTATGGCACTGGCACCGCCCAACGAACCTTCCCGTTCGGGCTGCAATCCTCAGCCCACCACCTTCCGCGCGACTCAAACTTTTCGGTGGCCGATTCCAAGAGCGGTAGATTGCTGGTGCCATGCCCGGGCACGCGCGCGAACTGTAATGAGGACACCCCCGCGTGGCCGCTCTTTAGCCGCGTTCCATGCCGCCTGCAAGACCGTCTGGGCACATGTACTGTAAGGCGACCTCAGTGCTGTGGCCAGAATTGGAAGGCGATGATTGTTAGTTGCTAGTAACGCATATTGGCAACAATGATACGTGTAGATTTGTCGTTCAATCAGCGTTTTTCGCTGCATGGATTCGGACACCGCCCGGGGAAATATCCACAGCCCAACAGACTTCGGTTGCAGAATCGCCATTACCTGCAGGCGACGCCAGGCATGAGGATATGCACTAGATTTCACAACACTGACAGGGAAAGACCATCCTGGGCCTAAGGAGTCGGACTCGGGCGTCTTCCAATAGTCTACCTAGGTGGTGTTATTCTTAGCTTTTTGATCGCACGCACCTAGTACAGCAGGCGTTTAACGCTGCCATCACCGATGCGCCCCGACAACAGCTGCGTCCCTCGTTTGCGACCTCACACCATCTTTCACACCACAGTCGTTTCTGTTCCACCAAAATCTCACCATGAAGACAACATTCTTCTTATCGGCCGTTCTGTTGGCGCGTCGAGCCATCTCCACTGGCTCGCCTTTGTTTCAATATGATCCCGACACCGTGAAAGACTGCGTCGAATGGTATAACAACGGCGAGGGGGATTCTTGCCGAAACGTTCGCAAGTTTTTTGGCGTCACCCCTGAGGAATTTACGGCTTGGAACCCTTCCCTCAATTTGAACTGCGAACCGTGGTACCCATGGGTATCTTACTGCATCGTCACCGAAACGAAGCTAAACGCTACAAAACCAACGACAACATCAAGCTCGAAGCTTTCCTCCACTACAACTAGCGTTGCTACTCTTGCTCCATCTCCAACTGTCTGGACGTCACTCGGCTGTTACGTGGAAGACCCGGACATGCCAATCCTCGAAAAGAACATGAATCCTAACGGCGACTCTGCCCTCACGATTCCCAAGTGCAAGAACAGCTGTTACCGCCGCGCTTTTGGTTTCGCTGGTGTACAACATGGCAATCAATGCTGGTGCGGTAGCTATGTCGGCGGCAACTGGGCGAGTAACCAAACAAGCTGCAATTCGACATGCACGGGCGACAAAAATACATTTTGCGGCGGAGTTGGATTTCTCAACATCTTCAAGGCTCAGCAGAATCAAGCAACTACTTCTACTGTTGCCTCGACCACAGCCTCTGCTGTTTCTATCGTCTCGAGCGCTATAGCCAACAAGCTCAGTGCGGTGGCCAGAAGTGGAGGACTTGGAGGGTTGTGGGCTATGTAAAGGTTGATCAATCATGATCATATTCGCTATTCACGTATCTACTCCTGAAACTGCCCTTCAATCTCTTAAAGGTGTAACTTGAATTTCGCCATGAGCCTGAAATCGACTCCACCGTCCCATCGCGCTGAACTGAATATCATGTCTTTGATTCTATACAATATGAGGCTGCCGCATATCTTGGCTGCACATAACTTATGCTATCACATATGTCGGCTATCATTGCACGAGATTGAGTGGTGTCAAAAATCTTGCGCCAAAAATGCCTCATCGAATTGCACTCATTGCGCAAAGTCTGCGATAGCGCACGGGGTAAAGTGCTTCGCCCCAGTCTCATCTCGTTTGACTCTTCCCTGTTCTGATGGTGCTCGAGGGTCAATGCGCCGCTTCCAGCCTCACAATGGCTTCTTCTGCCAAGACGCCTGCGAACACTATCACCCCAATCTGTGAATTGTCCATATTGACCGACGAAGCAACCTACCTAAGTGGGTGACCACACGGTGTTCTGCCCCAGCTTATCTTTCCTGTATTTG